TTTTTTTTTCATCTTTAACAAAATATGCTACAATTTGTCTAATATGTGCACTTGCTACTATATTTGAATTAATTATCGATGAGATGTGTGTAACTATATCATTTTTTTAATGAATTTCTAGACTAATGAATCTACATGAACCAATCAGTTAGATTTGAGTAGAAAAATCAAGAAAAGTTTGTTTATAGATTGCTAAAAACCTTGTATGCACTAAAACAAGCTCACATGCAATGAAATACAAAATTTACTAAGATCATGAAAACAAAAAGTTTTTCAAATAGAGTGTATTATTTTTGTGTATACATGAAGAAGGTTAATAATGAGATCTATTATTTCATACGTGGATGACATGCTTATTTTGGCAAAGAAACAATCCGACATTCATAGATGCCATAATCAATTAAAATCTGCATTTAAGATGAAACTTATGAATAAGTACAAGAAAATCTTAGAGAAAAAAGTTGGTAGAAATTTCATAAAGAATTTGGAATTTGGAATTTCATAGTAATTTGATAAAGAATAAGTTATGATTGAATCAAGATAAATATGTCAAGTGTTTATATGATATATGTTTATATATGATAGTTTCAAAATAGTAAAATACATAAAGTAGTATAAATTCCGTTGACATCACATTTTAAACTTTTCTCAGTTTAATGTTCAATTGATGCCATCAAGAAAGTAAAAATTCTATTTGTTTCCTATGATAAAACTGTATGCAGCCTCATGTATTTAATAAAATGCATAAGATTTGATATTGCTCTAGCAATGAACAAGTACACGTCAAATCCAAGTAAATTGCACTGGGAATTAGTGAATAGGATTATCATATATTTCAAAAGTGCAGCGACTAGTATTCCCTTAGTTTATGTTGATTACTCCTCACTCTACGGAATAAACCTTTGTCATTGGTCAAAATGAATATATTAAATAGAGTAGGGCTAGTACTTTGTTAAAAGGTGTACTACGATGCTGCTAATGACTAGGATTTATTGCGGGTTGTAGATCAAATCTTCTTTTTACTCCAAATGTGAATCTTGGAGGCTCTCGTTTTTTGCGCTCGTCAACGGCACCGAGGAATTACTCCCTCTTGTCATTGGCATCCACGACCGGATTAGTGTTGCACACATGAACTCCCCGCCAAGTTTGTTCAATTTCTACAATGTTGCAACCGCTTGAGTTTATGCCAGATGATGAATTGCACATCGATCGATAGTGCATCTTTTGTACAAGAAATTGATCCATGGACCGCGAGATTGCGGAACATACTCTCCACCTTCTTCGTAGTTTTGTAACTAGCACCGAATCGATTTGATTTGTCTCGATCCTCACCTTCCTATGCTTCCATGCACGATGAGATGAAAAACAACAGTGGCATAAAATCTATTTGCAGAATTGTAGAAGAAAGGCAAAATTTCCATAAATATATAGCAAACAAGACAACTCTTTCGTAGAATACGATGACGGATACTTAACTTCAACTGAGAGATTACTAGCCGCTCCCTTGAAAAATACTAAGTATTATGATATTTTTTGCATGATTTATTTTATAATGTCAAATGTTTGTTAGTTTACATTTTTCTTGACTATGTACAAGATGTGTACAAGAATAAATTTACAATTGGATATGTGTTTACACTTTATATTGAATGCATGAGTTGGAGATCCATCTTGCAAAAATGCATAGTTTAGTCTAGTTTAGTCTAACTCAGAATTTGAGTATGTAACGAGAGTAGAAACAATAAAGTAAATTATTTGGTTGGATAAACTTATCAATGAGATGGAATTGAAATATGAGTATATCAATTTTCATTATGAAAATCAAAATGCATTACATTTTGCTACAAATCAAATGATGAATAAAAAAATAAATCACATCAATATTATATAAAATTTTGAATAAAAATATTATACTAATCAAAATTAACAATAAATCTAATAAAATTAAAATTTTGATCATAATTATTATTTAATGTTAATGCATACACATTATATCATGAAATCTCACAAGGAATTTAATTTTGATGTTAATGAAAAATATAACTGAAGAAGTAAAATTGCCCAGCGGACAAACTAAACAATAAAGACATAATCACAGGTTGTATAGTTTTCTATAGATATATACAAAAAAACATTTAGTGAAGACAAAATTTGTTTAGTTCGATATGATGTCATTCTATGAATAACATGAATGTAGCAATGTCATTTGGAATTAGATTGAAGAAGAAAAAAAAATGGTTGGAAAATTTATGGATTTAAAATTAGATTTCAGATTAAAAATTTAACTCTTTTTATGATTACAAATATAAAATCTTTAAAATATGATATATTTGTTTTAGAACTTATAAAAAACACAGTTGTATCCATAGACAAACTTTAAATTTTGGATTTCTTTTACAAAACTTTTATGGAATATCTAGATGTATTCATAGATGATCTAACTACAATATTATTATTAAGAAATGCGTAAATCACAAGGTTGATGTAATTTTTGAAAGTACATCAATTTGCAAAATTTCATATTTTTTAGCTCCAAACAAATAAGAAGAATAGTATGTTGAGCAACAAATTTATTCAATGAAATGATAATATGCAATTATCCATTGATTATCTAGTATGAATCACTTATTTGATCAACTTCAAATATCAAAGTAATTCATCAAATTGATTATAAGGAGAGATTATAAATGTATTCAAATTGTGTATGAAGATATCCACAAGATTGCAATTACTACATTCATGAGATTAAAAATGAATTTTTTTACCCCTATCTAGACAATATTGTTATTATTTTTAAGATATACAGCAAAATCTTGAATGATAGTATGTATCATTTAAGTTACTTCAGAGATTAAAAAATAATAAATTAGATATCAAAGTTTCAAAATATGAATGTGGCAAATCACGAATAGGTTATTTGAATCATAGAATTACATTAAAAAAAACCCACGTGATGAGTGAGAAGATAGAATTAATTAAAAAATCTACAACGACTGAAATCAATTTTAAACTAAATTTTTTAACTTAGATTTGTGAAAAATTTGACTCGTTTGTAATCATTTAAAAAATTTCTATAATCATATTAACATTCAACTATATATCAATCAATCAATTTATTCAAGAATCATCTCAATCATTGAATTGGAGTAGATATTGTCTTGTTTGCGTCTTATTGTTAATCAAAAGATAAAACAAACTTGCATGTATATTTCATGTGGTTCAGCGTGGAGAGACATAATCCGTACATTTGGATATACGAGTGTGATACTTTCAGTTTTCTATCACATTACTTGGGGATTTACCGATTTACTTGGAGATATTTTCAGTTTTTCTATCACATTACTTGGGGATTTCCCGATTTACTTGGAGATATTTCTGACCAACTTTGAATGCACTTGCTAAAAATAATGTAATTTGATATATCCAAGAATAACTAGACATAGACAACATACATGTATAGTGTCATATTAGTTCACTTTATTAAGTAAACATAAATTAAATTACTAATTATGAGTTCAAAGGAATGAATACTTAGAAACAAAAATTAATAGTTACAAAAATTTTTTGTTGTATATATGTATTGTAACTTTGAGGAAGAAATGCAGTGAGAGTACAGAAGTATGTCAGGTCTATGTAACTTATGTACGTGTGTAATGCATTCTCGTTATACTTAAAACGAGCTAATGTAATGGTTATTAACAAAGTTTGATATCGAAAACGATATACATTGGGTATTGTCAGTTTTTACTCGCTAGTGAATGCTTGAATTTTTTAGCCAATCAGCCCATTACGCATATCCATTACCATTTCCTCCGCCGTCTTCATCCTAACTCTGTCTTCGCCCGAGTCTTTATGCTGTCTTCGGGACAAATGGACCCGAATTCCGGAATAAAAACAAAAGTGATTGAAATATCTTCCTGACTATGCTCCTAGAGCTCTATATATCCGTCCTTCACTTCCGCTAGAGGATCCATGGTTAGGGTAGCCAGTGAGACCGACAAGCTACCACATCCTTGTCATGCGAGTGTTATACGATTGCAATCATTTGGTCGAACAATTTACCTGCTGAAATCTAGAGAGTGATGAAAAAGATGAAGGTCTCAGAGCCTAAATTGGTAAAATTCTCGGATACAATGCTATGATTTTAAAGCATGAAAGACATTTAGAGGAGATTATCCAGAGATTGATTGCCTATGGCATCAGTTTGCACTACGGAAAGTCTTCAGTTCTTCAAGAACAGCTAGAATATATTGATTCCCCAAAGATTTCTAAAACATTAGCGAACCAAGGTGGAGTTATTCATAAACATTGCGTAACCTTCCGTGCGACTTGCGAGCTTTTACCACCTTATTACCACCCAGAGTTTAGCATTATCCCAACAGCTTCAACGAACCTTATTCGATAACGATTTTGGTACAACGAAAAGGAAATATCTACACATACTTCTATTTGTTGGAATCAATAAGATATCATCACTCTCAATGACCTACTTATGGAATATGTCAGGTTTAGTATTAGTTCTTACCCAACCTATTGATGATGGGAAGAACTTAATAATAGCTTCTGGAAGTGGCGGTGTATCTGAACCAAAATATAGTTCTTAACTATAAACTAAAGAACTGTGTACCAACTACTCGTAACAAATTTACATTTCAGATTTTATTTATTTGGGAAGTGATTCTTCATGACTATTCATAAATCGATAAATTGAACATCGAACCACACAGTATTCATGATTTTATGATCTTGCATTCTCATGTCTTCAAAAATATATACAAAAGTACTTGCAAAAAGTTGAAGTCGAACAGAATGGTAATGCAAATCCGTTTTAGTTCACCTTCAAACTAAAATCGTATCAAAGTCCAGTAAATTTTGAGGAAAATCATACTTTACTGGTCTTATCAATAACTTTTACCATACAGCTGTCTCATACTAATTAACTTTGAGGTTCATATTGAGATTAGTAGCCACACGAGTAGCCACATTTGAGTTCTCATATCACAGGTCAAGTTTTCAGTATGCAATACCTATATTTTGTTAGAATATGGATTAGAGTACACAGATTTCGAATTGTCTTTCCTCAAGCACTGACACCAACTTTGAGGGTTCGATATTGATTAAAAATGGTGGTGTGAGCACTGGTTAAGTTTTGAGTCGGTTCAGGGATCAGCGGTGAGGAATGATATCTATAATCTGATTTTAAATCAGCTTTACTTCTCATAACCCACCCGAGGGTACATGGGAATGATATCACACTATTGCTAATCCAGCGAAGTCAATGAAAATAACAAAGAACGCAAGTGATGCATCTAAAAATCTATTTATGATCTACCTCTCCTAATTTCATAATATCAAGAGAGCACATGCTCCTGAAATGAAAAGAAATTTTAAACCGAGTTTCATTGGTGCATTCGAAAGTGGAGTTTAGTGTGTGGAACTTATGTTGCAAATCAGAAATCTACACTGGACCATCCGTTGAATCGAACTATCAGATATCGTCAAGCAGACGTTAGACATCCTTATGTAGACCAAACAAGATTACAGTCACAGACTACTCATACTATGTACAATCCGGTAGGCCAAAGTACTTGCTACTGGCAACCTCACTGGTTGCCAATTTTGGGTGTACCACTCTTTTGATTGTCATCCCAGCCTCGAACCCAGGGGTAACCTGGTTTTGCTCTTGTCTCAGCGGATGAATGTTCCTCCAAACTTTCTGCAACTTTCATGTGAATAGCCGAGAACACCTGGACATTCTCGGAAACGAAGGTTCATTAAGCCAAGCTTGTTGTACCCTGGTTTCTTGGACCTTGCAGTGCAAAATAAAAAGCACATTGAACAACGATGACAGCTCTTTGGTACTCCTTTACCAGAGGGAATAGCACATTGGCAATTTACAAATCAGGTTTGTTTAAATCAGGACAAGCACGCCAATATATTCTTTTTGAAAGATAGTAAATAAACCACTTGAGTTTCTGATATACATACCGGGTTGCTTGCAATATGTTCTGGGGCTTGGTCTTGTCCAGTCAACCACTTCAATAAATCAGGGTTTTCCTGATCACAAGTGAAAACGTTCGTCAAGGCTATTGCGTAAGGCCAGCGAGTCGAAGAAAGTCAGGAGGTACCCACAGCACATGACAGGAATAGTATGATATTTAGATGACGTTAACTGACCATCAGAAGCGAATTCGTTCCATCGATACTCAGTTATAAATTTGTCCATGGCGAAAGAGGTCCAGCAGATAAAAATGCTATAACAGAAACTAACACGCGATTCTGACTTCATACCTCCTCCAGCACTTCTACGAGAGCTCTGAGATGTATGTCATCTAAGTTGTTGATGTTTTCTTGCGCCCATTTGCCAAGGAGTAGGTCAAGCTCGAGGTACCCCCGCTGCTTACTCCGATAAAGAATCCTGTAGAAAGTTCAACGGAGGGACCTTTTAGCTGAGATATTCCTGATATGACAGCATGTGAAACAACTAGGTTTCATCTTCAGGCACGAGCGAAGCGAACGATTGATAGTACAGTATCGTGCTTGAAACAAAATTTTTAGGATTGCATACCTTAAATAAACCTGTAGCTGATTACAGTAACTAAACTTTTCCTCAATCATTTTGGTATGACCCTAAAGCCACCTCCAAAACCTAATCAAGTCTAGCTGTGGGTTTTCTAAAGTTCCGCTTACCGGTTGAGAAGTTGTCTGCGTTCTTCATCAACTGTGCCTTTCAAGACTTCTGTCGAGAGCTCTCGTCTTGAAAATTCCTCCCTGTTCATATATTTGGATTTGTCATAGTGCAAAAACTGGCTGGATCTTTTGTGGCAACAAATATTCAGGTGCTTCGCTTACTCAGAGATCTGCAGATGGCATGAACAGCCTCAGAGGGCAAGGTCAAGAAAGCTAACCTTCTCAAAAAAGGCGATGTTGATCCACGAGAAGGGCAAGGAATCACAACAATCGGTCTAGCTTGTGCTGCTAACTGTCTGCTCAAAAGAGCGACGGCCTGTTTACCCACTCTGGCAAACATATTTCCAGATCTGATTTTCAAGTCAACAATTAGCATTTTAACATTTAAATAACATCATAGATGATATCCCCGTTTGGAGTCTCCTACTTCGGAGTCTCCTACGGGGAAAGGTATGCAGGCCTCATGAAATCGGACGGATTAACTGCTTAAACTCAGCTATTTGCTACTCAAAATCCATTATGCCAACGCTTCCGGTCGCTACTAGCCCACCTCCATACCATGGCAAACTAATAGGAATCAAATTGTTTCTTTTGCTGCCATGTATGACTGCAGCACTGTATGTAGGCGGAGTGGCGTACACTATTGCTACCTGCACCAGGTCTGGTTGTAGACCGATAGTCGTCGTCGTATCGGTGTAAGGAAAGACCGGAGGGGGATAAAAATTCAGGGCGAAACTGACAAGTATACGGAGCAAACGGCAATAGCCAAAGAAAGGCTTATCGTTCAAAAAAGCTGAAAGGAAGGAGCTGAAAAGAGTTCTGCACTATTAGAGACATTTTTCTGGTTGTTTAGATGTTATAAGATTCCAGAAAATAATCTCCAACATAACGCTGAGAAGCAAGAATCTGGTTGCTAGACGTTAAGTACTTCCTTCGCCACTCCCCTGTATCTCACTTCCCATCTTTTAAAGCCAAAGTGAATATTTTGAAGAATCTTTGGATGGTTTTGCTATATTATGGCATCTCATTGTGAAGGTGAGTTATTGTCTGGTGAATTAAGGCACCCACAGATTAAACTTCTGCGAGAAATCAGCTGAAGGACACAGAGCACTACAGGATATAATGGAAGATTAACCGCGGTTTCCCAAGGTCTACTGCACGAACCTGGTTGTAACCCTCTCCTTCATCCACAGGAGCCAGACAGAAATGATTTTTGGTATTAGATAGACCTATAATCTCTCTGCTACGATACCTGGAAACTGCAACCATCCCTCCTTTGTGTAATACTGGAAGAGTACAGAATGTCTGGAAATTCTCATGCCAATCTGGCATGAGTAGGTGTGACGCACACAAAGTAGGGCAAAATTATATAAGCTCGACACCAGGCCCTAAAGATGTAAGGATTTTTGTCGATGCAAAATAGCAACGATACTCACATCTCAATCTTAGCGTGATCAACTAACACATAGAAAATCTCCTCGTGCCTAACATTATTAATTCTGACCACTAACACTTAATATCATCAAGTGGCAACAGGCTGCAGTACTTGCTCGCCTTCCTTTGATGCATGAGAATCTACCCTTAGCTCACACAATCAAAATACGCGGAGAACAACCAGCACAATGCAGATGCAGAGCTTGTGATCATGACCATTGAGTACAGACATAGTATTTACAGAAGAGGGATAGGGTTTAAACGTATCGCCACAAGCTGACTCAAGAGTTCATCAATTTGCTTATCGGAGTTAAAAACCACACCCAACATCACATGCATAACAATTTCTCTATATTCTTTCGGCAATCTACGGGTGCACAAGCCACTACGAAGGGAGGAAAACAAATCTAAAATCAGCCCCCTTCAGATCGATACGATAAGGTCACTCGAATAGGAATTCATGACAGAAAGGACGACCGAAGTGCAACGATGCAGACTCATGAATCTCCATCGAAAATTCTAAAGCAGAAAGGTTAAATAGATCAAAAACATCCCCCGAATCGGTGCAATACACATCTACTCCTAACAGCGGAAATTCGACGTGCCTAATTTAAAGCAGATTCCGACCCACCACAAGAAAACATCCGCACCTGAGCAGCCGATTTTGTGAGAAGGTCGGGACAGCAAGGCTCGGTTCGAAGTCGACACTGGAGCTCAGGCAGCAGCAGAGAGAAGTTGGCGACAGAGGAGGCACCAATCGAGGGCTGAGAAGGCAAGAGAAAGCGAAGGCAAAAGCGAATCGACCTCGTCACTCGTGGCAAAAGCAGGAGCAGCAGCTCCATCTCGTGGGCCCCGGCCGGCCCCAGCTGCTCGAGCTGTCGACGTGGCAAGTGCTGCCGAGCCGCCTTTCTGCATTCCTTCCGTGCATCGGAACCGGGACATGTCCACGTGGCCGCCTCGGGGGTACGGAGCGAGTGTTACATGCTAGCTCCGTATTATTCCTCTTACCGTCCGTTCCCGGCCCTTCGCTTCGCTTCCCGTCGATTTTCGATTTGTCGATTTCCTCGAGGCTTCATATTCTTGCGGGGCGAGGTCCCGGATCGACAGGAAATCCACCCCAAAGAAAAAACAGCAAACGATCCGCGAGTGCAGCAGCATGGATCGCTGTGACTTCATGCTGCATGCACGTCAGAGCGAATGATTGAGGATTCTGTCTAGCCCGTGAAGTGATCACGCAGTGCACGTCTCTTCCACTTCCACGAGCATCGCGAATGCAGCGGTGTAAAGTCGGACGAACACCAAGATCGGAGGAGGGCATTGTTTAGGGAGGGAGGGAGGGAGGGAGGGACATGGAATGCCGAGGCGGATCAGAAGATGCCCTAAATCGTGGAATGCAGCGCTGATCAGTCGCGGGGGTGGGTCGCCAGGACCCATGTGAAGTACCTGTCTGCTGTACTCTGCTGAGTCCGCTTCCACATCAGCTCGCCTGCCGACACGTCTCTATCCTGTGCCCACTGGCAAGAGTCTCTCTCTGACTGTCTAAAAGCGAGTTTCTCCCGCACAGAAGCAGGAAGAATCAGAGTGTAGCAATTCGGGAAACTTTCCGCTGCCCACGATTGCTTCTGACGAGCGTCTGCATTTGAGTGCTGAGACTGAGTGCAAGGGAGAGCGGACGTCCCCAAATTCTTGTAAGGACGAGGTTGACAGATATCGAGTGATGTCGCCTACTCTAACTTCCTTCGTCAAGGGGGCTCAGGACTCCTGCTTCCCGATCCAGAATTTACCGTATGGCATATTTCGCCCGACTCCTGAACAGATTCCACGCCCCGGGGTGGCCATTGGCGACTATGTGCTAGATCTCTCCGCTGTTTCTCGAGCTGGCCTCTTCAAAGGCCCTTTGCTACATAGCAGCGATTGTTTCCTTCATGTAAGTCCATTGGCTCACTCTGAAACTGTCAAAGGCAGCTGGAGAGGTCTGCTCCTGTTATGCACAGATTGCTCTCCAATTGCTGTATGGTTCTGCCAGATCAGTCTTGACTTTTGTTATTCTTAGTCAACCAGATTATGAGTTCTCTAAACGTAAAAGAGGCTTCAAAACCCTGTGCCATTATCGCTCTCACTCCTTGTTGGCTTTGAGTCGGTCATTAGTTGATTACATCGGTCTGAATTTCCTGAGCTACAAAGAATGGCAGTTTATTGAAATTCACGCAAAGGCAGCTTAGTTCCCGAACTAGATATTGAATAATTAATCAACATTTTGGGCGACAAATTGCCGCATAGCATATTGTGACGGTGAATTTGTTTTCATGGCAGCCGACATTGAATCAGTTTATGAGTCTTGGAAGACCAGCGTGGAAGGAAGCCCGAGAAACAATCCAAAAGCTGCTATCTGGTACTTTCTTCCCCCTATACTTTTCTCATTTTTCGAACAGACCGTGATACTATTAGCGAGATTGTCTCCAGCCTCCGATTTATTTGTGCTTACTTTTGTGTCGAATCTGAACAGCTAAGTGCTATCTTTCAGTAAAGTTCCTAGTCCCACTCTCGGGAAATGTACATTATAACAGCAACCTCAGTACTCCTCAAAGTCGAGTGTAGAATCTTGTTTAGAAGCTGCTTTAAAAGGTGTTGTTAATATGTTAACTTTATAGATTACCTCATCGTGAAATGCCACGTGATCGACAATGATAGCGATGGTATCTGTTCTCCTAGTTGAATTTCTCAATGTTGTTTACTCCGCAGTTGATGATCCCACCCTGCAAGACAATGTTGACCTGGAAGCAACGGTTTTTGTGCCAATGGTAAGACCATGTGAGACTAAGTTGATTGATTAGCTACGGAAGTGTTTTTTTGTGTAGTCTACCTTGTGCGTTAGCAATTTCCTTCTATCCAATATCTGGCTACAAAAAGTAATAATGATGTGCTGTGGAGCAAGATGTTCTAAGATAATTTAGCAATAGAACTAACTTCGGAGACTTCTTTCTTGATGTATTACAGAGTCAAGTGAAGATGGAATTACCCGCTGCAATTGGGGATTACACAGACTTTTACTCGTCGAAGGAGCATGCAACAAACCTGGGCATAATGTTTCGTGGGAAAGAGAACGCTCTTCCGGTGAACTGGTAAATCTTTATACCAACCCTGGTCTGCTCTATAAATTGAGAAACAGTAGCAGGACATGGAACGGAATTTACTTGAGAGCTTTGGATTCCTTCTATCTCCTAATCTTGTAACTAAGATTGTCTTATTAGTAAGTTCACTTTTTCCTTGGAAATATCGGAATGCATAGTAAATCATGTATTTATGCTAGAGACTGAATGTCTCGAATAGATGTCTCAGCCAGTCTCTTCTCTTGAAATTCCAGGCTTCATCTCCCTATCGGCTATCATGGAAGATCATCTTCAATTGTCGTATCCGGGACCGACCTTGTCAGACCTAGGTAATAAACTAAGCCCGAGCAAGAAAATATGCGACTGGGCATTGGCTCAAATTTCAATTTCGTAGTTATAGCATTTCCCTTGGTGATATTGCAACTGGACACGCATTCTTGGATTCTGGAAACACTACTCACATCCTTGATGACCGACGGGGAAAGTTTACAGAAGAATTTGGCGAACAAAATCTTCTTTACTTTCACTCTGCAGCGCATGTTCGATGATTATCTCACTCTAACGAATGTCTCGCTTCAGAGGTCAGACTGCGCCGGGTAAGGACGGGCTTCCTGCTTACAAGGCTTCTCAATTAGTGGACTTCGAGCTAGAAATGGTGAGAGAAGAGGGCTGGTTCTTGAACCAGCCCAAACACTTGAAGTTTACTTTATCTGAGCTGGTAAAGAGATCAAGTATCCCGATTGCTGTGTTGAGAGGTTGATCTGATGATTCATGAGCTTCACGAGGTGGCGTCAGGGGCTGTGGGATTGAGTCGTGCATATTCTCTTCTTTCATCACGAAGTTTTTCAAATTTCAGGTCGCTTGCAGGCTGTGTTTGTAGGTCCCGGTAATGAAATGGGTAGTCCAGTGAGCGTGGAGGATGCGCATGATCAGATCTTTGGGTTCGTTCTTATGAATGATTGGAGTGGTAAGAGCCATATCACACTCAGTTTTTGAGGTTTGAACCTTTCCTTCTATTGTCATGATTACATTAAAGAGGAGATTTTATATGGTCTAAATTGAAGAATTCAGTCTGGTTTCAAAGACTTGCTTGTAATGTTGTACTACACGGTTTTATGACTTTATGTCATGTGCACGTTCGGTGGCCATCTGTAGCCAGAGACCTTCAAAAATGGGAGTATGTTCCTCTCGGTCCGTTCCTCGGAAAGAATTTTGGTGAGTTGATACTCCATTGGCTGGTCATGGTGGCAGCAGCTTATGGCTGCCACCTTTGGTATAGGTTCACTGTCATCATAGAATTACTCATTTGGCTCAGTTGTACTTTAAAAATGATCATCATCATCCCATCCAGGTTTTAAATATTTACTCGTCGCTTAACTGATGATGACAGGCACGACAATTTCTCCTTGGGTTGTCACAATGGAGGCACTCGAACCATTCATCTGCAAAGCACCTGAACAAGTAAGTGGGACAGTCAAGTACTCAAAAGTCATCTCCGATGCTTCCATATTTACCTGTGAATTTGAGCCTATTGATTCCTTACATGTACATCGTTTGCAGTGTTTCTCAGTCAAGCAAAGACTTTGTTCACTTATATGTTCATTTATGACAATTCAACACAGGCTCTGTATCCTCTTATCATACCCACTTACTTACTTATCATGCTGCATTACGATTTCACAGGACCCAGCTCCTTTAGCCTACTTGCAGGACAGCAAACGCGTGACATTTGACATTCCTTTGAAGGTATGGATGCTCATTTTTCTTCTGATGTTCAAATAGCATGCTGGACAGGCCTTGCGGCATACTTTGTGTCCTACTTGACCAGGTCGTTTCACAGCTAGAGAGCTGTCGAGTTTTCATTAAGCTAAAAATTGTCCAAAGTTAGAGATGCAGTATAAGTCAAAGGAGTTAGACGTCAAGTCAAGTGCAAAAAGTGGGCAAAAAGTCGTGATCACATAGAGGAGAAGGGAAATCCAGACTGATGTCCAAGAAGTCTTAACATTAGCTGGTATTTGCAGGTTGCCCTCAAGCCGGAAGGAGGAAAGGAATCGGTGATCACTCAGAGTAATTTCAAGAATTTGTAAGTCCCTATGAATTTGTAGCTTCTGATGAGATCCTTGAGTGTCTTCTGTCTCGCTGGTTAACGATCTTCTGTACTGTCTAGAGTTTAAATTTTAACGAACCAGTATTTATCATATGCAGATACTGGACAGTGGCCCAACAAATTGCTCACCACACGGTGAACGGGTGTAACCTTAGACCTGGTGACCTTTTAGCATCAGGGACTATCAGCGGACCAGTGAGTTCACATTTCTCTCACATTAGCACTACATTGATCACATCTGCACCTTCTAAATTTCAATTTTGAGCTTGATGTTAGATATGTGTGACCAACCTAATCCTTCTGATCCGTTTTGCCACAATGTAGGAAGAAGGGAGCTATGGTTCTATGGTTGAGCTTTCATGGTCAGGTTCAAGAGAGGTAAAACTAGAAAATGGAGGCGTCAGAAAATTCATTGAAGATGGGGACGAAGTGATAATGACAGCATGCTGCAAGGTACGTTGGCGCAAGATATGTGACCACTATCGGTTCTAGTTATTATATAGTGGTTACAGTTGTTGGAGCTCAGCCAATATGATGATACCGTGGATGTGTTTCTTTCGGATCTACAAACAGGACAACTATACAATGCCAACCTCTCCAGTAAACGCTCTTATGCAGTATTGTACTGGTCCAGAAGTGCATCAAACTTTGTCTACCATGCATAATATCGAATCCAATATTCCCACGCCAAATATGCTAGAAAAGTTTTATTATTTTTCAAATCTTATACTTTGTATTATGCCTTCCGTTCTTGATTTTGCTAACTTGTATTGCTTCCGTACTGCAGGGCGATGGTTACTGTATCGGATTTGGCCCGTGTTCCGGTAAGATATTGCCACCCAGACCAGAGTAGCAGCACGAGCTTGAAGCTGTTACGATAACTACACGTTGTTATATAGCTGACGACTCTGGAAGAGTGGACCAGCGTGTATCCAAGAGACACTAATTCTAGTCCTCTTTTTCAATTTGAGAGTACGCGTGGCCAGAGCAGTCTCTTCATCATCTTAGAGGCTTTGCTCTCATATCAAGGAGAATGTTCAGCGCAGGAGTAGATACAAGTCCTTGTGACAATAGGTACATATGCGTTGTGCTCGTCATCAGCAGTACTTGAAAGAGGAAAGAGCACTTTCTTACATAGAATTGTAAATTATTGTATTTCCCGAGTCGGTGAATAAATGAAACCAGAACGAGTTCTACAAAGCTGGGCATGCACGGTCAAAGTGCACTGATTTCAAGTGCACCTTGCAACTTCGAGAAACCTTTGCGATTCAGAAACTGCAGAACGAACACAGCGTTCCAGCTAGCAAATACAAAAATCGTGCGCTTTACCATTTCGACTCACTTGCGTTTCGAGTCGACTCACCAAAAAATTCATGCATTAAAACTCACATCTTTCAAATAAACGGAGTGGCGGTCGTGATGACTTGGATTAACTTTCCCGCAAGTTCGTTAAACTGTCGAACGATACGGTAGTTAAACAGTGCTGTCACAAGCAGCCCTCAGCTTTCCGTAACAACTAATACGTCAAAACAAGGCCTACGTCTGAGAATCGACCTCTACATTACCGGAGAATATAATACATTCTCGTCTTTTCAAAGGCCTTCAATTCAGATACTTTATTTCAAGCCTTTTACTTTATTCGAAGATACGATGCAGGTAAGCAAGAATCTTAGAAAATCTGGGTGTCCAGAAACGTGCAACCAGTGAATGAGCTGCTGACGAAGCCTCGAGGGTCTTCAGACATTCTTGGCCTAAAGGCCTCGAACCATTCAGCACCGAGTGGACCACATTTTCCTACGGAAGGAACCATGTTGTTGGGTATATTCAAAGGGAGCGCGGATGAAGACGACAGGTCTCAACTGACATGAAGAAGAAGGAGATGGGAAACCTTCAACGGGAGATGCTTTGTTTCAAGGTCACTCTTATCCTACAGTTATGAAGCAGGTAGCAGGAAGAAGTCAAGAATCTTCGGACATGGTTCTGTCCAGAAACGTGCAAATAGTAGTTGACCTGCATGATGAAGTCTCGCGAGCCTTCACTTCAGCCTTCAGACATTCTTGGCCCGAGATACTCGAACCATTCGGCCCCAAGTGGCCCGCCCGCCCGCCCGTATTTTGTTGACTCCCGATGGAACCATCTCCGGGAGATGCAGTGCGAGAAGAGACCTATTTTCGACAGCTGAAGAAGAAGCGAATGTAGCCCACGAGCGAAGACAAGAGCACACCGAGGAAATCAGATCCGAAAGGTCAAGGAGACTCGGCCACGGGACCTCCTCCTCCTCCTCCTCCTCCTCTTGATGCGACAAGTATAGGGCTGGGCTGAAATGCATCACATCACATCACATCACAAGTTCCGAGGAAATGTGAAATCGGAATCTTTGATATTGACTCGTGAGACGGCAAGCATAACAACCAACAATAATCTCGGGATGATCGTGAACAGGCGTTTCCTTGGATCAGTGTCTATCTATCTATCTATCTATCTCTCAGCATTATTATTTTTTCCATCTCCGAAGCTCCAAAAGCTCTCCCGTCATCAATTCCGTGATGGCTCTCGTTTTGTCCTGTCGCTTGTCATCGGGCCCCATCAACTCCCATCAACAACAACAACAACACCAACAACAACAAACGTTGACAACCATTCCATTCCCTTCGCTTCGCTTCCCTTAAATTCCAGTTTTGCGCTGCAATTGTTTTTTGTTGGAGACATTCATTCCCATTCTCCAATGACATCATTCCGTTCCAGTTTCGCTGCATCCCTCCCTTGCGGCATAATACTTTTCCCTCCTGTACTTTAGCGTGCTGCCATTCGATGTCGCTATCCCCTCCTTTGGGGAAAAAGTAGTAACGAAAAGCGCTTCGAGTCGATCGAGACCCAAAGTGTACAAATAAATATTTAAATAAATCAATACATAATTCTCGCGCCATCGGGTTAGCTGAATTGAATTGTGCAGTCTATGACCTCCGAGGGATGGAAATTAGAGGACCTCTAGCATAGGATGGCAGTGCTATCTGATCCACGCATGAGGGAGGGAGGAGCTATCTCTAAATAGCCACACCAACCCCAGACACACTTCTCGGCTGGATGGATGGATTTTGCATGTAAAGGCGGAGCAATGGATGTCGATAGATATTAATGTTTATACATGTGTACACATTTCCACGAGATGGATTTGTTGCTTTGTGTTTGCTACTCGCACCACAATTGTACCTCTATCTGTTGTCATAATGGGAGCTTTACACCAGACGTAGACATGTTCGAAATTTGTATCACAATTGCTTGGAAAGGTTGCTCTTTATGTGTCAATAGTTGATATGTTTTCTTTTTACATAGTCATGTATCAAGTTATTGAAATTTTCTTAACTTCATGGTAGTTTACATTATAAATTTCTGTGATGATTTGTGGGGAGACAATAAATATCTTGAATACGCTGTACCTCGTAATTCAAGTTTTTGAATCCATGCTAGAGACAATACATTAAAGAACTCCTTACAACTCATAATGATGGACTGTTATCATGATGTTACTTCTTTCGAAATGATATCTTTTAGCAAATGGATTTTTGACTGCATGCATTTGATAAAAAATTTAAATAAATGGTTCTTTACTTCACTCCTACAAAAAATTACAAGCATGTGTCCAACATCCAAATGTAATCCATTCACATTTTTTCATTGCATACTTCGGTTGTTAAATGGTTTGCTTAAATAATATCCGTAGGGTGACTTCTTTTGATGTTTCATCATTGAGAATGTATTGCAATGTTCAGTTTTATTCAAAGAAAATGAAACGATCGACAGCACATTTCTGCAACTTTTTTAAAGCTTCAACGTTTCAATATTGACATGCTTCCAGCAGAGAGCTTCGGGAGTTTGTTATCTAGAGGATGTTCATAACTTTTTGATAGATCGTTAGTGTTATCAACGGTGGGTGACATAGAGTTTTATGTCATTTAAACTAATTAGATTTGATAACCATTTTAGAAATTATAAATTATGAATGGGGTTTCTTCAGATTTTGAGTTTTAGATTGAATTGACCCTTAAATATCCTTTTACTTCCATTGTGTATGTATAAAGCGGTATCAAAAGGGGTGTTGAGATAAAATTTTGCTGTAGTGTTACAAAATGTATCATAAAGTAAAAGTAAAAGAGAAAAGGAAAAAAGCTAATGGAAGTAATTTAAGTTTATTGAGAAATCAAATCTACACCAAAATCTCCAATGTTTCTAACTTGCATATATTAATACTTTTCGAACATCATAATCCGAATATTTGAACAATTTTAAGATAGAAAAAACACAAAGAATTCAACCAAAAGCAAGTCAAAACTTTGACAATTCGCAGCTTAAGGATCAAATATTTAAAATATTTTTAGTACATACATCTGCCGCCATCATGGAAGCAAGGCATTTTTTCCATGTCTAATTTACCAGTACACAACAATTCAGAAGATTGGCAAGTACTTCAAATGTGTGAAATATTATTAGCACTATCTCATCCAGAACTTTAAAATGTTTCATTACATGATAATACGAAAGAATCCTAACTACTTTCATTACATGTAGAGTAGAGCACTCACGGTTGAACACTGTTTCGAATAAGATTTTGTTTACCATTTGATCTACAGACTTTCGCTATTCTAGAAGTAGTTGTTCAAATATAAACTATAATAGTTAGTAAATTTTTTATGTTGCATTTCCTACTTCTAAAGATGCTATATAAGCTAGCTCCATGTTTTGTCTTAGTAATTGACGGGGTCTTACAATCTTTTTTGTAAGCTAAATGGTATCTAATGTGTATTTTATGGTACAAATTACATAAAACAAAAAATACCACCAAGTAACAATGTTGATCATTTAAAACGAGCCAGGAAACATGTGATAGCAAACAATTTCCTGGCTCATTTCAAAGTTTCGATATTGTTACTTGGTGATAATTTTTGTTTTATGTAATGTGTACCATCGCATCCATTATTTTGTCATTTCCATAAAACAAAATAATTGTTGTTTTGTGTAACCCAGTTCATCCAACCCATCCATTATTTTCATGTTTGTGCAAACAAAAAGTGGAAACAAGTCATAGCAAGAAGGGTGGAATTTCGGCTACCGAATTGGAAGACGATGGAATGGGAAGGTGAAGATATTTCCGTCCAATGAAACGGAAGAAATGACGGAGAACATTCCTTGCAACGGCTCCAGAGAATGGCAGGGAATGATGAGCCATGCTCCGATGGCGATGGCGATGAATACTTGGGCCGGGCATTATGCTCGTCCCCAAGGCAAGCATTGCAACAGAATTGCGAGTCGAATCGTCAGATATTCTTCGGCATTCTTCGACCCGAGTCTGATTTCCCGATTGGCAGCGCCATTGGTCGTCCGAGTATTTTAACACGGGCGGTGAATGACATGCGCGGTTCATAAATGGCAGAAAGATGGAGCCGGACGAGCAGCAGCATCCACTGTTCGGACGACGATCGAGTCAACCCAGCGAGCGAGCGAGCGATGGAGGGAGGGAGGGAAATGGCCGAGAAAAAGCAGAGCCATGGTACCGTAAGTGAGTGAGTCAGTGGGTCAGTGAGTGAGTCAGGGAGTCGGGTGAAATCAATTCGTCAGAGAGAGAGAGAGAACCTGCAGCGGCCCTCTGGCCAGTGCACGCAACTCCATGCCGTTAAAAGTAGAAGGGCCATCGTATGTTTACGTGGAGAAACCCTAAATGTGCCCTTGCCTCAAGTTCCCTCAATCCCTGAATCTCTGTGAATGCCTGCCCTACCTCGACGAGATGGCAGAGGAACGCGCAGCAGCAGCAGATTTGCTTGCAGATCAGTGCTCTTGTCAGCTGCCATGCTTCTTTTCTGGGGCTGTTTCGGGCGATAAGAGCCTTTTTCTTTGGCTGTGGGCGGAACCTTTTCAATGGCGGCCTTTATTTATGAAGTCGTCCGCTGCTGCGACGACGACGACGATCTACAAGCGGGGGCTGGTACAGGCCGCAGTACTGTACGCCACTCGGGCTCCATACAGTCCGGCAGCAAAAGGGAACAATTCGAGTACTGCGAGGTCGGCCAACGAATGGAGGCAGGGCGAGCAGCGACCCGAAGCGTTGGCGCAATAGATTTGGAGCAGCGAACAGCTGAGGTCGAGCAGTTGATCCGTCCGATCTCGTCAGGCCTGCATGCCTCTCCCCGCAGGATACGCCGGACGGGGATAGTTTATGTTTGTTGGCGCGCTGGCGCGGATGGCATGTCCTGGACTGGAGTGGTCGAGATCGACATAGATAGACATCGCCATCGCCATCGCTGCGCACTAGCTCTAGCCCAGTAGTACATACTACTAGTATACTCGAGTCGGGCCGATGTATGTACCCGAGGGGTGGAGGGCGGATGGATGGAGGGAGGCAGGGAGGGAGGGCGAGGGAATTATTGATGAACCGAGACGAGAAGAAAAGGGGACTGAATCTTTTGGTAGATGGATAGGGCTTGTACTGTAGGTGGCAGATATTTGTACGCGTTTGCTGGCTGCATCGTTTGCTTCTCGCATATGCAATTCGCAGGCGCCGTGGCGGGGCCCAGATGTCCTTTTCGATTTTTGTTGCGGAGCTCGGAGGGCGATAGGGGCTGGCTAGCTAGCTAGGCAGGCAGGCAGGCAGGGCGGGGTTGAGTGTGTATCCAGATGGGCTTGTGGCGGTGCGCAGACAGTTCTGGTCATGAGGCGCTGACAGGCCCCAGGAGGCTCGCAGCGAGCGCTCCTGGTTCGATGAGGGAGGCAGGAAGGGAGGAAGGAAGCATCAAGGGGAGTTTCAACGCCCCCTGAAGGCTCGAGGCTCAGGCAGGCACGCAGGCAGGCAGCGGGACAAGAAAAGCTGAATGATTTGTTGAGTGGCGAAACCGAACTTGTGGAGAAGGAGAGATACTTTTGGGTGGGAATGTCAACTGCATTCACTCTCTTTCGGAACTGAGAAAGAAAGACAGACAGACAGAGAGTGAACGAGCGAGCATGTTTGTTTGTTTGTTTGTGTATTCTCGTACATACGTACGAGAATACTCCTCCTCTTCTCGCTCGGTCGCTCGTTCCTCGCTTGCTCTCGATTGCCTCCGGGGACTAGGCTTCTGTTTGGAAATTACCGAAAGGACGGACCACTCACACCTCCAAAGGTCCTCTCAACGATAGACACCACTACTTCCACACATGTCTAAAAGCAGAGGTGGAATCACGGTAGAAGGAATTGTTCTTCTGTCCTCGAAGTTCCCCCGGAGCAATGACACCACTTGCAATTCACCCGAAGGCCACACTACTACTAGAGTTGCGGGAAGCAGGAGCGTCAGCTTACATGGTCCTCGGAGAGCAGAGCAGATCAGGTAACACTAGAAACGTGCAGGAAACATTCACACATTCTTTCTGGATGGGTAACCAGGAGTCGGGCGATATCATAACATCGTCTTCTTCCTTGGCGTGGCATAGCCCTTCCAAAAGCTGGCACAGCGGCTCGGGAGAATCCCTGCCAGAGCAATCTGGAAACCCTTGGTATGGCTAGAGCTGGTGCTAGTTGACGCATGTGAGCCACCATTCCTCACTTCAAGACTGGCCATGCACAAGGAACATCCTACCATATGATGATCATGATTCGCGTTCAGAAAAAGTGAGCGGTTGCTATTGTCATTTGCCCAGGCTTCCTTCCCCTCGATGATTTTAGCTCGAGCTCCCGCACATGTCAGTTGTGTGCGAAAAAGCTACTAGTAGTGCTGGCCTCACGACAAGAAAAGTTATCGTCAGTGAATCGTTCAGCTTTGTCAACCTCTTTGACATCATCGCTCCAGATTAACATCTCCACCTGCATTCCACTTTGTACTGATGGAGAGCATACGATGCCTCCCTCCCACAAGATGCGGCGCTTGATTGCGAGGCATGACGTGAAGGTGGATCAGCGATATGCTCATCATGCAGGAGGATAAATCTACGATTTTAGGCCTTGGTGCAGCGATTGGCAGTTTGCCATGGCAAGTTGAGTTCTCTTCATTTCTACTGATCGGCATTTCTACTGGTCGGACGGTATTTTGACCCCAACGAAATTAATCAGGTTTGCTGAAAGGTGCCAAACTGAATGAAACTGCCCCGTCGTTGCGATGTGGGGACATAAACTTCGAAACTCAACTGAATTCCAGATGCGGAATAAAGTTCCGGTGCTTCTGCGAGGTACCAACTTGAGTAGCCTTCTCGAGATGGAATGGGTAGCTACGGTCATTTAGGCACGGGATAAGCTGCGTGCTATCTATACATGGTCCCACAATGACCGGGAGCACCCACATATCTCAAATCCTCTTTTCTCTTTCTTGCTTTAATAGAGCAGATGTGAGCAGTAACGTCGAGCGCACGGGGGCGGCTTTTTCTCCTGGTACCCAGTTGGGCACAATGCATGTCTGTTACTGCATCGAGCATATATCCACACTCCCGAATGGCTTCCGAGACAGTCCAGTTGGCACTGGCGGATATATAATATCTCGTCTCACTGAGAGACGCCACGGCTTACGTACGGCCGGCCGGCCTGCCTGGCCTGGCCTGGCCAGATGGAGCCTCAGAAGGAAATGTGGTGCAAACAGAGATTCCCCGAGTTTGCTTAGCACATTACGCTTATCCACATCTAGAGATGCATGAAAAGAAGTGAAATTGACGGGTCGACGGGCGCAACAGACGATCAGGTGGGAGTTCGCGAGTTTGGAAGGAATGATACTCGCGTACTGCATACGTTGCCGCATAACCCTCGTCCACATATAGAACAACAGAGTTAGCTCACAGCGGAATTGTTTTCCTTTTTTCTTGAAGTTCGCAGCGAGCGAACAATAGCCATTCTCGCAACTTTTGGTTTGACTCGTTCATGCACATCAGAAGGTTCGCGAAGACTAATCTACTCAGGGGGGCAGGGCAAGACGACAGGCACGAACCACATACACAACAGCAAGAGGAATCAATCACATATTTTATGCATTCCCTAGCACGCACGCGGGCGATTCGATTTCATTCACATCAAAAGATCTGATCAAACATGTGGATTCGCCAGTGACAAGCATGACGCACATTGATTAGAAACGGCAGCTTATCCAAAGAAGAAATATGGTAAAAATTGTCACCCAGGTTTAATGGTACATCCTAGTAATTAAACAAATTGTAATAGAGGCAAAAGCGCACATTTAGCTTCTACCTTTGCATTGCTCATATTTACCAAGGTAGAAGCTAAGAAAGTGACTCTTTCTCTACTCTACTCTACGTTCTCTCAACTATCTGGCTTTCTCTCTAAATCTCCTCGTTCCCGTCCTCCTGCATCGATTTCAAAGTAACAAGTCCAAAGGGTCGACAGCTTTTTTCGGTTTTCATTGGTTCCGGTGCAAGCTAGAGCAGCTTCGGTCTATCGAGTCTCATGGTAAACAGGGAATCATACCTCTTCAGCGAACAACTTCACGACTCACAGACATTCAGACGGCGGGCGATGGATGATGCGGGCTGAACACGAATTGATGGTGTACTGTATGTCATGTGGATCCGGATCATATCATGGGAAACAGTTGAGAGAGCGGGTGCATTCATGAGAGAATTGCTGGGTGAGGAGACTTGGAGGGCGGGCACGGTCCTCGGCTGCTACTGGAAGAGATGAGTGAGCTATGATTGAGGGCATGGGAGCGGGGCGTCGGGGAAGGATCTGCTTGCTTGCTCGCAGAACTCGGCAGCTATAAGGAACTGGTTTCTTTACAATACACAGAAGAAATCGATCTAGAGAAGCTCGGCCGTCTGATAGGGGATGAGGGCCGCGCGCTCAGCATTTGAGCAGGAGCAGCTCGGTCGGGGGCGAGTCCGCATGATCGTGCCAGCCAGGTCTGCCCAGAGTGAACTCGAGGTTGGGCATTTTCGTGATCCGCTGTGTGATCTGCGATGAAACGAGTTGCGAGAGGGCCGATGCACTGACCATATGTAGATGCTGGTTCCGGGATTGCATTGAATTACAACCCGCATCTTCCACCATGCTTGGCTCAAAATGTGCCACTTGCTCCATCATGCCCATCGCTCCATCTTTTGCCTGCCAGCCACACAAACCCACACACACTGTCAACACACGCCCCAGAAGCGTCCGCTGTACACATTCTAGGCCTCGAGACTCCCAAGCATCTGGAAAATCATACAAAAGTGCCGCCCTCCCTCCGCCCTCTCGCCCTTTTCTCGAGTACGGCACCGAGCTCCCACACATTCAATCCCTCGGAAATTACGTTGACATGCACTCTCCCAGTCTACAGTCAGTCCGCTGATGCCGATGCTGATGCTGAGGTGATGGGGGCTGTTCGCCGCTGCTGCCTTAAAGCTCTCGTCGCGGCCCCACCGGATGCGACAAATCGAGGACGACGCTAGCCCCCGCTTAGCAACCCCGTAGAGGGCTTAGCTTAGCTTAGCTTAGCTTCGCTTCGCTTAGGGTAGGCCGGGGCTTCCGGATCGGATCGGAACGGAACGGGACGCAGCGCAAGGGGCTAGCTAGGGGGGTGGGGGTGGGGGAGGGGCAGGGCTTGGGGCAAATCGAGCATCGGAAAGACGAGCACAATTACACGGGCATGCCTAAGCGAAGCGAACCCCCCTTACGACAGCATGATCCGGCCCCTACCGGGGGACCTGGACCGACGCCGGACAACGAGACGAGACGGAGGGCAGCAGTAGCAGCAGTAGCAGTAGAAGTAGAGCACTGACCTTGAAATTGGGCACTGGAACAGTGTTGGGCTGCCAAGAGACGGCGTCGCTAGCGCCGCTGCTGCCTTGCCTTCCTTGACTGCCTTTGGCCACCTCTCGGGCTGACCATGCACCTCGATTCATGCTGCACGCAGCGCATACGTCAATTCGGTTCGGTCAGTGCGCTGAGATGAGATCGATCCCACGCAAACTAGGGCTACAGCAAACATCCGCAGGCGACAACAGTGGTAGAAGTAATAGTAGTAGTGGTAGTAGTAGTAGTGCTAGTAGTGGTACGAGTGGTGATTGCTATCTACGAGCGGGGATTCAATGAGGATTTGATTCCTTTCGGGTGGTCCTTCGACTGGATACGACGACGACTGGTGGCCTGAAAGGAAGAAAGCAACGAGGACGGAGGGGGGAGAGGGAGGGAGGGATTGAGGAGGAGGAGGAGGAAGAGGGATGTGAATGAGGGAGCGCTAGCTGGGACTGTTGGCCGAGGTACAATCTTGGACTTTTACGGAGCAGCAATTCTCGTTTCGTATGGCATGGGAAAGAGCACAAGCGGTCGGTTACAATTAGATACTGGCTTGCAAAGAACGCGGGCGGGGCAATTTTTAATGGCGCAAGGCGACGGGTGAGTGGAATCTTGTGATGGAGGAGTGACGACAGACACGACACTCCTTTCGACAGGCGAGCAGATGGGGGAGGTCAGAAGCTCGGCGAAAAGTACCTGTCAGGGTTGGCCCACAAATTTGATGGGTACTCCTGCAGAGATTGTTTCATGTGCAGGGAAAAACGACCCCCCTGATGCACATCGTCTGTACCCGACTCGGAGAGTGTGTTCCCTTCCTGCCCCGAGTCCGAGTCCACGACGATCGGCGTTGCACTGTCATCCGCTTTCCGCCCTCCTGTAACGATCTCGCTCGACGAGTCTGCTTGACCTGCACCCACGGCAACATTTGTCCATCAGCACCCAAAAAAAAAGCTGACCCCCATCGTCCTCTCAGCTTTCAGCTCTCAGCTCTCAGCGATTTCTCCCATCATCGCCTCGTCCCTCTCGCCCAACCTCGCCCTGGCAAAGCCGACAATCCCAATCCCATCCCACGGTACATGGACCTCATACGTTTCCTCTACGAAGACAGCACACGATGCCTCGGCTTCCATCGTCGGCTCGTCGCGGTCGACACCGTTGACTGTGATGCAATGGCAGGGAATCGGAGAATATTCAACCACCACACATCCCTAACTTACAGTTGAAATTATGGGCAGGCAGAGGACAAAAGTCCTCGGTCCTCTTCGCATGCGCATCAATCAATGATAGATGTTCAGTGTCGTTTGTCCGAGATGTAATAAAGGTTACACCACAACAAGTGGCCGTAATGCACTGCATTTCAGAGCTTGACCATGTCTGGACTGTCCGGACTCCCTCCGCGAGCGCAACTAAATGCTGCTGTGGCGAGACGTGTCCTCGGCACCGAGATGCTGCAAAGCCATTCATCGTACGACGCAGCGTACTGGCTCGCTCGCTCGCATTTGACTACGGCAGCTGTGATCTCACGCGAGAGAATTCTCACATGCTCCCCCCAGCCCCTCCCTACTGCTGCTCCAGCCTCTAGGGCTGTACAGCATATTCTCCACAACTCGAACGTATCATCCCGTCCGGTCCCCACTCTGGGCAACCGACACTCGGACATTCGGATGTCGAATACGCACGACATCCGAGCTCCGAAATTCTGCCACCGCAATTCTGTCCTGAATACGAGACGACGACGAGACACAGTCTCTGCCCTAGTCGGTCCCCAGAAACCCCCAGAGAGAGATAGAATGGATAGATATGCAACGTCGTACCCCAGCAGTACCCCCAAACCCTCGACGAGACCCCACGGCACAGCATGCAACTTTGGACGGGCAAATCTCTTCACCATCTCTCCACGTTCTCAAGTACACACACATACACACAGAAGCTCTTCAAGCAAAGGGAGCATGGCAGGGCAGGGCAGAGCAGATGAAAGAAGAGAGTGGAGAGAGGATCGGAGAGGGACAGTACCTGAGGGATTACTCGGCTTGTCTGTCGTTTTGACTGTGCGGTACATCTGCAAGAGGGAATCGGCCGCTGTGTCAGCCTCCAGCAGTCTCCGTCATAATGCAAGCACGCGTGTGCGTGTACATCCAAGCTAACCAGACTCTAGCGACCCTCGACTGCATGATCATCACAGCCCGCAGTCATTCATTGCCCGATGGCGCTATAGCGGCGATGGTGCACGGTATACCCAAATGGCCAAATCACAGCTGACCCCAAGAAATTGACGGATTAAATCGACACATTCGCCCCCACACAGGCCACCCCGAGCCCTCGTCGACTACACTCCAACCCTTCTTCATCCTCAACGCAACCCCCACGAGCTCTCTTCGGGCCTTCCTCCCACACCCCGCTGCTGCTGCTACCTAAGATTTCTTTCCGCTCTGCGCCTGCCGGCTCGAAAGAGAGCGCAACAGAGCGACAGCAGCAGCAGCTGATCGGTCTAATGTCACGTCGTGATTACCGCAAACCCTCTAATGAATGACTCGGCCACGATTTCTGCGGGCGCTTCCTCTAGCCCGAACCCCGAAGTCCTAGTCCTGCTCGTATATATTTCTTCACGATTTCCCGCGCCCTAATCCGCGACGAAGCGAGAGAGGGATTGACTGCTCGACCGAGCTGCTAAGTTCATGAGTGCACAGTCGTCATCGTCTAAGTCTGATTGCATGTAATAATGTAGAAGCGATGGGCGGAGAGTTATGGCTCACCTGTAAATGGCTCTTCACGTGGGCAAGAGTGAGGTCCTTGACGTTCATCAGCTCCAGGACGGATTTCGGAGTGGCTCCTGCAAACGCCATGACGAGAATCACGCGCCACTCGTAAGCACCTTTCCGACTCTGAGACGAAGAGCGCATGCGCCCGGAAAATTGGGCGCAATAATCTCGGCCCGGACTGACAGTTTCGAGACGCCCATCTAAATCGAGCCAGGCAAAGCACGGGCAAACCCCTAGCCTAATCCTAGCTGACTGCGTGCATTATGACACAAAATTGGACCGAATTAAAGAGCTGCATTACTGCGAAGGGCTGGCATGGCGGTCAAGGGAAGCTCGGCCGGTCTCACGGCTGCTATTCGAAGCACATCGCAGCCTTTGACCGAGCGAGTTTGACGACCGAGTGCGAACGACAGCAAGTGAACGATCGAGACCGAATTGGAAACTGTGGGGTTCGAACAAGATCCGAGGGCAATGAATGAGGGCTGGCTTACTTTCATGGCCTCCCAAAAGCTCGACGGCGTGGACGAAGTGGGCGTGAAGCGTGCTGGTCCACCGCATCCGAGGCGCGCGCATGCTCCGCTTGCTGGGGAGTTTGGACATGAATCTCGAGCGGACAATGCTACTCTGCGAGTCGCCCAGCAAGCCGACGCTGGATTGAGGATTGACTGGGGAGCGCCCGGCGCTTAATTGCGGGTTGATGGACGACGAGCCAACATTGCCCGCCTGGGGGCTCATTGAGGAGAATCCATCGACGACCTTGTGCAGCAAGTTGGACCCGGCGTGGCTCAGAGCCGTGGGCTCGCCGCCGTTGCTGGAGAACGGAACTCCACTCCCTGCCAGGTTCAGAATTTGCGAGCACAGCCCGAGCTGCTGTTGCTGCTGCTGCTGCTGATGCTGCTCACGAGAGTCGGAATTGTTGTTGGTGGTCGTGGTGCCGCTGAGATGCGGCGAGTCCCGAACTGTGGTGCCAGTCGAGTTGTAGGAGAGATGGTGGTTGTAGGGCGGGGACACCCGTAACCCAATGCCGCCGAGGCCTAGGTTATCCCCTCCACTACTGACCTCCATTCTTGCACCTCGACCAATTCCGGCCTTGGGGTCTGCTGCCGGAACATCGGGGAAGCAAGGGTAGCACACTGCCGCGGGCGCCTTGCCGCTGTTGCTGTACCCGGTCGACGGCTCGGGCAGAACGAACTTGGTGTTGAGGTCTCCGCGGAAGCTCGTGAGGTAGACGGATTTGGAGGAATCATGGCTGCCGAAGAGCTTGGTCGAGTCCGCAGGCTTGGCGTGCGAATCTTGAAGGAAGGAAGGAGGGGCTTGGCCGGCCTGATGGTGCGTGCTGGGCGCTGCGTTGTGGTGGCGCTGCTGCTGCTGCTGCTGCTGTTGGTGTTGGTGTTGTTGGTGTTGATGATGGTGGTGGTGGTGGTGGTGGTGATGCTGCTGCTGCTGCTGCTGATGGTGTGGGGCGAGACCTGCTGTTGATCCGGGGGCCGAGATGGCGGTGGCGGTGGTGGTGAGGGACGGTTGCTTGGTGGCGCTTTCCTTGCTGAAGCACGAGGGCGTGCTGTTGGTGAAGCTGGCCGCTTTGGACGTGGTCACTTCCGGAAGGCGATGCGAAGGGTTGGCGAGGCACAATTGCGTGGACGCTGCATCGGGGCTCGTCAGGTTGTCGCTGGCGCTGCTACAATTGCTGGAGCTCTCACTGAGCACGCTGGTCGCAGGGCGCGGGTTCGATGTTTGGGGGCGCTTCCATAGGTCGAACCCTCGGTCGTCGTCAATCTTCTCGGGGATTTTTTTGTGCTTGACGAGGAAGGGAGCACTGCTGCACGGGGGGCTTATCTGCAACGACAAATCCGGGCAATATTGGGAAACAATATTGGGCATGCTCAAGTAGGAGTTTTCGTGCATTTTCATGCGGACCACCGACCTTGCAGCACCTGCTCTTTCCCAAGTCCCGTGCGCTCTCCTCCCGTCGCGGTCCAGGCTATGGTATGAAGAAATGCGCCTGATCCTGCGCCCTCCCGCCTCCTGCCTCTGCTTCCGGATCCGGTCGTGCAAATGCTACGAGCGACTGCTAGCCAGCTACAGGTTGTGGTGGTGGTGGTGGTGGTGGTGCTCGGGGCGGTGATGAAGGTGATGGTGATGGTGAATCGAGTCGAGACAGCAGCGAGATGTTGGTGATGGTGTCGATACCGTGCAGGCCAAAGCAAGCTCCTCGTGTCCTCTTACGACATAGACGGGGACTCCGTTACGGTTACAAAGCAGGGAAAGTAAGCAGCCATAGACTGATGTTGATGCAGCGACGGGGCGCCAACTCCCTCCGAGCGATGGGTGTGAGCGGTGACTGGGGTCGAGCGGCTGCTGCGGGGATGGCGATGGCGGCACGACGAGGGAAGGCGGGGGCGAAGAGATCAGATGACCTCGGAAGACATATTTTCAAGTGATGTCCAGTGTTGCGACTAACGAAACCCGGCGGCAAGAAGGGGCAAACCAGAAGAGCTGGAGGCTCAGAAGAGAGAGAGGACAGACGAGGATGGGGCTACTGAGAAGAGAGTTGGGCTATAATCCATCGACCGACTGGACCAGCAGAGGCTGTCGTGCTGCGAGCAGGCCCTGCGTTGCGACGCCGGCCCGACCTGATGGATCCGATGATGGCGGATGATTCGGCCCTCTACGACACGCTCTCGCCGTGGATGAGCTGCTGCTGCTGATACGCACCAGCTTCGACTGAATGGGGATGGTGCTGAGGCGGGTGGCGCGGGTGGGGGCGATTATGCGCGCAGAGAAGGCTGAGTGAAAGGGATTGATATGAAGAGAGAGAGCACAACGGAGCGGCGGTGAGGCGAAACACTGGTTGGGGTGTAGGGAGGCTGGATGGAGAATGGAGGCTGAGGCACTGCATGCATAAGGCTTGGGCGGAGCACACAAGACCCAGACCCAAATTGCATATAGACGCTCGAAAGCTCGCTCGCTCGAACGCGACGGCCGGGGCAAACGACGAGGGCACCGCAGTGCGTGCAGCTCCCACTACCTCGACCCTATCTCAACTCAACTGAACTCCACTCCACTTGTCTCGCCTCGTCTCTCCTTTCGTCTCGTCTCGTCTCGTCTCTTCTCTTCTCTTCTTGTGGCTTCGCTGCGCTGCGCTTGGTTTCGCTTCCTCTGCCTGTTCCTTTTCTCTCTACGCTAGAGCTCTCGAAGACGCCACCCTTCGCTCCCGTCGACACTTACTCGCTCGCTCGCGAAAACGATGCACGACATTGAAGACAGTGAAGTGAGGCTCGGACGGAAGAAGGCCGACTTCCAAAACAGGCGCCGGTCCGTCGGTTACTCGCGCTCGCACGCTCGCACCCTCGTCCGCTGGCTGGCTCGCTAGCACACACACAGACACACACTCGCTCGTTCGAGCGCGAGCAAGCAATGTGGAGGAGGAGGAGGAGGTGGTGGTGATGGTGGTGGGGGGAGGAGTCGGTGTTCCTGGGGCAGAACCCACGAGCACTCGCGCTGTCCGCACACACAATCTCTCACGACAGAGAGACAGATAACGAGAGAGATAAACACTCAGAGATGGCGATCACAGCAGACGACAGCAGCAGCAACACAGCAGGCGCAGATGTAGCAGCAGCAGCACAGCAGTCTAGAGTACTGAAACGAGCGAAGGCGAGAAGAGTGGGTGCCGCGGACACGAGAGGCACATATAGGCAAAGGCTAAGCCCAAGCCCAAGCCCAAGCCCCAGACTGGCTCCCGTCGCCCGGCTCTCTCTCCCTCCCTCCTCCTCCCCCTTCCCTGGCCTTGCCTTATTCTCCGCCTCCTGCTGCCCTCCTTCCGGTTGGGCGCAGCTGGGGCCCGGGCTGCCCCCGCTGCCCGTTCGGCGGAAGCCCACTGGAGACTGGCTAGCTCCAGTGGATCATACCTCTGCCGGACCGCAACCGGGAGGCGCTGGATTGCGCTCGGCGCTAGCCGACAAACGACCTTGCCCCCGAAGTCCAGTCTCCAACGCCCTGCTCGCTCTATATTCCTTCCTGTCCTTTTCCGGACTTCCCCCCGACCTCTTCCCCCCCCCCGCCTGCCCCCCCCGGCACACGCCTTCTCCCCCCATCCTCCTGATCACCCGCCTCTGCTTTAGTCTTAACACTCTCCTTCGCTTTGCGGTGCCGCAAGTAAATGCTGCGATATTTGCTCGGCCTTTCCCCTTCGAGGGCTCGAACCCTGCCCGGGGCTGCTGCTGCTGCCCCTGCTCGCCATCATGTGAGCCCCTTGCGATCCCGGGACCTGGGAGCCGGCCAATCGTGCACCCCTTCGGACCCTCGTCCCCTGGTCCTCCCCTTTATGCTACATGTCGGCCCCCGCCCGGGCTCGCCCTTCCGTTCCCCCCAGCCTTAAACGCCACTGTGTCCACGCTTTTGACGGCCGGGAGGGGTGCCTCCGGACCCCTCCGCGGGCGGGTCCGGTAGGATCGGGTCGGATGGGGCTGGGGCTGGCCGACGCGTATTTCTGGTATTTCTGGTCGTGGTCTGAGCGAGCGGGCTAACCTGTGTCCTAACATCACCGGCTACATTCATTCGCCGCTGTGTCTGAAGAAGCCCAGCAGCAGCCCCAGCCCCAGCAGCGAGGCCGTCCCGGTCTGGTCCCCGGATCACCGGCGGGGATTTGCTCGCAGCGTCGCGTGTGTCCGGTACTAGCAAGACCGTCGTTAGGCCTGCCTTCGGTTAAGCCCAAGCCCCAGGGCATCCGAGCGAGCGATCGCTCAGCGGAAGGACAGGGGCTGTTTGGCCACGACCTCCGGGAAAGTATTAGTTTAGTGCATGATTATGGCCGAGCGGGCGATGCGGTAACCCGAGCTTTAAATGAGGGGCCGCGGGTGCAGTTCGAACCTGACCGCGGTTGGCCCCTCTTAAAGGGGGCTGGGCCAAGAGAATAATGGCAGACGCGGGATGGAATATTGTGGGATGGGAGCGCAGGGGTTGGGCCTCGGGCGTCGGGGCCCGCGCCCTCAGCATTTTCCTCGCTCGGATATGGGGCGCCAGCCTCGGGCCGTCGTCGCGTCGTCCGAAACGAGAAAAAGAAATTCCGGCCGGCCCTGGGGAATGTACACTGTCCGGCGACGAAGCTCGGGGGTTGGGGTTGGGGGTGGGGGAGCAGTGCGCTTCCATAAAAGCTCGGTCTAGAAGCGAGAAGGGGGATGGGGGAGGGGGAAGGGGCAGCCCGCGCTGCCCCCGCGGGGGCTGCCCGGGTGCCTGGCTCGGTCCCTGGCTGCCGCGACTCTGCTCTGGTCTATCTCTGCAGGACTAGAAGGTGCTTCCCAAGTACGCCCGAGTGTTTATGTTTTGACTTAAGTCATCATTAGTTCTAGGGCATATCCTCGACAGGTCTAGCGATGTACCACTGATGGGAGGAATATTATTTTGAATTTTTTGAGCTTCGATGAGTTTATTTAGGAGTATACTCGAGCGCTGGGAAGCCAGGTCGGCTGTAGGGTAAAAGGGGCACGGATAGGAGAAGATTGCTTTTGATTGATTGCCAGCAACTGAAGATTCATGCGATTCCTCACACATCTTCCACTCTTTTTTTAATCCGCCTGGTGACATACTTTTAGTGTAATCTTTCGTGTGGGCCTGCCGAGGCGTGTTTCTTCTTTCTGCTTGTACTTGTGCTCATGTGTGTTGTAGTTGTAGGCGAATCTACTGGAATTGCTATCATGTGGTGAAGGAATATGACTACCGTCTCACGCTTCTCGTTCGTCTATCTATCCCTCCCTCCCTCCCTCCCTCCCTATATACCTCTCGATGTCTAAATTCCTTTTCGTGCTGTAGCTTTCTCCGCACTTCTCCCTCCCCCTCCCTCCCCCTCCCTCTTTCGCTCGCTCTCGTGCTCTTCGCCATAGATCCTACTTTAGCTCCAACATACTCTTCCAATCATGATGTGTGCAAACCATTCTCCGCTCCGTTTCCCTTGTCTCGCTCGCTTTGCTCCTTTCTGCTCTCCTTTCTGCTTTCTGCTTCTGGGTCTGACTTCTGCAAAGCACACTTCCCCCACCGCAATTTTCCTCCCATTTCTAAGTACACTGTGCGCAATAGTAAACCTCTCTTTTATGACAGTTATTCCTCTTTGTCAACCTCGTTCCTCACTTTATTCTTTGCTGGTCTTCATCGCGGGTGAGCGTAACTCTTGAACCTAGGACGTAATGTTTTGTACATCAGCCTTATAGCCATCAGCCATCAGCTTTTCCCACAACAGTTCGAGTTTCCGAGTTCTACATTATAATATTCTTCCTACATGTTTTCGCATCACATACGTAACTGTGTGAGGTTCTTATACCTTTGTCGTTCAACTAATGTAAGAAGACTTCAGATTTAAACTTTTTGCCTACTGGTGAATTTCACTCTTGAGATATCCAAGAATATTTTTTCTCTTCCTCTTTCTTCTTCTATTTCTACCAGGGCGTGAAACGACTTTCCATCATATTCAGGAGCCGATGTCGTTGTACATTTGTAAATGCAACTTGAATAATGATCAAGGGAAAAACATTTGTATTCGACAGGTTTCCTTGAGGACAAGAAAGATGGAAAATTATAATTCTAAATACATTTCCATTCCTAAGATATCAAAGGCTGAAGACTGAGAAGTTACGTTTCCTTTCTCTCTCTCTCTACGAAATTTTGGAGATTATTCCATGCAAAATAATGGAAGTCCTTTACTTTACATTTCGTTTACAGATTATGTCTTCCAATGTCCGATACAACGTCATAGAAATCACATGCAAGAACTAAGTGGACACCTACATCGTTCTTCTGTTCTTTTGCATGTTCTGGTTTAAGCAAATATTCGGCTAATGGGAGGGTTTTGTGTACAACGCTAACGAGATCAAGAGTGGTCAAAAAGAATCCGCCCACAAATTTCATCGACAAGTCTTGGGACAACACCGTGTCTACCGAACCATATTAATGCATGCACACTCACATAACAGGAGAAGATGCTCTTCGTCTGTTCCTCCCGTTCACTTTGTGTCACGAGCACTTATTCTCGTGGAAGTACGTCTCCCAGCAATCACTGGTAGAAAGAATTTGGTGTTTCTGTTCTCTTTGCTGCATGGTGGGTACACATATGGCACCAGTCAACTTTACGCTCCAGAAGACTATTGTTCAACATTCCACAGCAACTTTTGGTGAAAAGAAACGCACTCATATCAACCAGCACTATGTACAGAACGGTGAAATATTCTGCTGGATGTTTGTCACATGTTTGACTCTTCGATCTGATGAACAGTTGGACGTGACAACGTTAATAGTACACGGTTTGCACATAGGGGATGCAATGCATGATGTATTGCTTCATACATCCCTCGCAAATTTGAGGCACAAACATTCTTCGCCGGTCATGAAATGATAGTCCGAGCATGAATCAGGAGCACATGTTGTCAACTAGAGGAACTTTTCTCGGAATCATTCTCCATTATTTAAAGCCTGTTGACATTTCAACAATTGCTTCTTCTGGCGTTTTGATGGAGGTGGGCAAAATCGTTATCATTATCATTTCCAGCATTAAGAATACGCCTCTTATGCAATCTGAAAACTATTTGTATGACTCTTCTTGAAAAACATATTATAATATCAAACCATATGATGCTATAGAGTATATATATAGACAAATATTGATATTTTGTTAGTATGAAATGTTTGAAAAGAAATATTATTATTATTATGTTAAATCTATATCTATCCATCAGTGCTTTTCACCTTGATCTTGCTTCCATCCATACTTGATAGATAAAGTACTATGGACCAATTAATATCTAGTAACACTTTTCGGTTGATGCATACATCTATAATTATATTGTTTTATGAATGTTATATTTCAAAAGATGCAACGAGGTTTACTAGGAAAAGGACCAACACTATACAAACACATAGATTACAACTTCAGCATGTTAGCCATAGAATACACTAAAGAACACTATATGCTGCATTAAAATATTCATTTAAGTCATATTGCAATATTGTGTAAAAAAATCTACTTACATTGTTTTGCAACAAACATTTTAGGTTGAAAATTTGTGTTTAATGATGTTGCTTTACATGTTCTGATAATATGTAGATCGTCTGAGTTTGAATGAAACAATTTTTGCTGGCAATTGCTTCGTCAAAATCATGACATCTAACTTCGTGTCAAAGTGCAAATCCTGGAATATATCTAGAGACTATCTTGAACATGTTTCTGCCAATATTTACAGTTATTTTCAGGTACGCCCACGATTTCTCACTCATCGATTCGAGAGGCGATGTCTACGGACATTATCTTCTGAACGCTTGCTTGTAATGATGTAAAATGAAAGATAGGGGCTCTTTCAAACCATTCTTCACATACATGATAATAATGTGCTTGTTTTCTCCCACTTTGGACTGAAAATTTAGATTTCAGATTCTGAGAAAATCCAAACGCCTTGATCGATGTTTCAAATTCGAAGGACATGAATGCCATATTATTCAACTGCACATTCGTCTTTATTACAAGGGATAATTTTTTTTCCAGCTATGAGGCGAAAACAAATTTCCAGCGAATGATGCACTTACTAAAGGAGGCAAACAACATGCACACATGACCACGTTCCATGTCCTAGAAGAAAAGATTGTCACTCTGATCTGATTGCTACATCCGAGCTGGTTGAGAATAAACGCACCATTCCTCGAGCAGCGGGATTAGAGAATACGAAACATATGCAGAAACAAATATTTATTGATTGG